TGCACTGCTTCTTGTAAGGCTTGTCCTCCACTGGTTCAGGTGGTTCCTGCTGTAGTAATTCCTATAACATGCAACTCAAATCCCGGGTTACAACAATTTAAAAGTATATCCATTACAGTCTCCACCCCTGGTCCCTTTGGGCCAGGTTATAGGGTTGAACATTGCAGTGAACTCCTCCTCTTGCTCCTAGCCTGTCTAGCAACAAGGGGTTCCTGCTATAGTAATTCCCATAACATACAACTCAAATCATGGATTATTTTCGGCCAGGATTAAATCCCCTTGAGGCACACATTGGACTCCCCCATCCTTCTGCATTACCCACCAAGTGCACCCAGGTCCTTGAGCAAAAACAATCCCACAAATAGGTTTACCCTTTCCTGAGGAAGGAATAACCCACACCATTGTAAGCACGTGGCGCTTGCCTTGGCGGGTTTGTGGGAGTGTGATATAATCGACCTGCCAGGCCTCCCCAGATTTATATTTCACCCATCGTCCTCCATACCAGAGGGGCCTTAACCGCTTGGCTTGCTTGATTATGGCACACATTTGACAATCATGGATAACCTGTGCAATGGTATCAATAGTCAAGTCTACCTCTCGATCATGAGCCTGCCCTCCACCTCCGATGCTTTCCCACAATACGACAGGACTCATCAGCGAACAGGGCATATTGCTTCTCATTTTCTGGGAGTTTATTATATAGTGGGGCCTCTTCAGCACGAGTCAGCTCCTCCTCTGGCGACACTCTGAAGTTTCGGCCCTCTGGCCGGTCCATGATCACTTTCAGAATTCCTGGGCAGTTAGGGTTTCCCATTCAAACCCATTGCGTTATCAGTGCAACCCACTTACTCCATGTAGCGTCCGTTGCACGATGCGTAGAGGGGACCCTCCCTTTGAACATCCAGCCCAGCACAGGCAATTGAGGTGCCAAAAGGAGCTGTGCTTTAGTACCAACTACTTCTGAAGCAGCTTGAATTCCTTCATATGCTGCTAATATTTCTTTTTCAGTTGGAGTGTAATGGGCTTCAGACCCCCTATATCCCCGACTCCAAAACCCTAGGGGTCAACCTTGAGTCTTTCCAGTTGCTTTCTGCCAGAGGCTCCAGGTGGGGCCGTTATCCCTGGCTGAGGTTTAAAGCATGTTTTTCTGGCTGAGGTTTAAAGCATGTTTTTCACACCTTGTCCTGCCCAGACTGGCTCAAGGGCTACTGCAGGAACTATCTCCCATTTAATTTGTTCAAAGGCTTGCTGCTGCTCAGGGCCCCATTCAAAGTCATTCTTCTTCCAAGTCATTTGGTAGAGAGGGCTTACAGTCAGA